ATAATTGGTATTTTTCTAAACTAGAAAAGATACTTTATAATTGACGAAAGTTTTAAGGAAATTAAGTTTAACATGTACGAGAAACACAGCATTGAATTTTACCTTCGAGTGGGTTTAATTTATTCCAAAAATTGGAAATTAAGGTCTCATAAAACACTTGCCGTTTCCATGGCAACAATACATTTGGTGACTAAATTGTTGTTGTTTTTGTGAATCCCATATAAAGGCCTACTCACACACCAAATTTCAAGGKTGGTCAAAAAATTTCATTTCCCACTTTGCTTGAGTCTTACAGAGACCTACTCTTAAGGCTTAATTAAATATACAAAATTGAACTGCTTCATAGATACAGTATTTAAAAAGCATCATTATTTACTCATGGTTTATATGAAAGCTAATTTGAATTTGTATTTTCAAAATGTTTTATTATTGCTAATTACAACAAAAACACTCAAATACCTTACCTGACGTCACCATCATTAACATATTGGAAGTATAAACCTTCATAACTTAGAGACCCATCACTCAAATCAAGAAATATTTTACCAATCAACCATTTACTTTATGTAGAACCAGTACTGAATGTATTGTCGAAGGGTTCATTTGCACTTTAAGGAGATTAGGCCCTCGAACTGAATAGGAAAAAATGATTAAGAAGTATCTCGCTGACAGTGCTACTTAATTACCTCCGTATGATCATTCTAATCAGCTGTTCTTTGAAAATTCATTATGCTATGCATAATATACTCTTGCTGTTTGGTTTAGAAACTTTAAACAACCTGTCCTTAAAAAGATATACTTACTTATTGAAAAAATACCATTATAAATATTGAAAATATGTAACCTAGCTATGCAGTCGTCGCGACCTTCTTCCTTGAAATGACAATGATAGAAAAATCTTTGTCGAATTTCAAGAAGGTGGTAAAGCAACAGTGAAAGTAATACTATTTTTGTATGATTTTCAGAGTAGATGATATTCGTTATTGACGCTACATGTTCCACTATTATCAAAATAATTTGCGTTGTAGAGTGCAAACAATTAATCCATGAAACACTGATTACTAAATATTACAAAATAGTGCTAATTAAACAATAGAAAACAATAGAATTTGCATGAAATTGTGCTATTTAGTATTACTAAAGTTTCATGGTTATATTGTTTGCACTCTAGTACGAAAGGAGATAAGAGGCTAACCTTATTGAGAAAATATCCTAACATCGAATTGGAATTTAGGAACGTTAAATTTTGCGGAAGGTGGAAAACCGGAGAACCTGGAGAAAAACTCTTGAAGCACAAGAGAAAACCTACAAGTAACACTACTCACATAAGACACCGAGTACGTGAATCGAATGATGAGAAAAATATCATGAACATCGATCCATAACATCTTCAACCGCAGTAAAAAGTATACAAACAATACAAACAATACAAACTCCAAAGTAGCTTTCAGTGCTGTTTGAACGAAGGAAGGGACAACAGCCGTTGAGTATGCCGACTCAACTTCACTTTCTTTTTGAATATTTATTATTATTATTATTATTATTATTATTATCATATGTTATTCATATTTTACATAAGAGAAATCTTAATTACGACATTATTAGTTATATTATTATAGGTATTAAATTTTATATAATTCAGGTTATTTATTTATTTATCATTATTAATCTATCTTATCTTATTTATTTTCTATTATTGTTATATTTTTTGAGGGCCACTGGGTTATCAGTATGATTATTTTTAATTATAACTGTCGTGTGCTACCGTCTTGAAATAAAGTTCATTCATTCATTCACTAAAGTTCTGGTCAATATAGTATAGTCCAACAGAGAAAGCAACAACATCTTGTTTTTCATATTTTTAGCTCAAAACTGTAAGTCACCGTTCACTGCACCAAAGAATACAGAAAATAACTACCTTAAAGGCCATGTCATCGAGAGAATGTTGACAGAAACAGAATCTCTTTGTCGTATCATGTGTTATAATACTGATACGTGTGTGTCGTACAACTACAAGAAGGATAGCACAGCATGCGACCTCAATGATTCAGATCACATTCAGCATCCACAGGACTTTGTTAAACAGTCTGGATATGTTTACGTGGGCACAGAGGTAAATATTGGTTTGGTATTCTATTAGAGTTGGATGGATGGAGGGATGGAGGGATGGAGGGATGGAGGGATGAAGGGATGGAGGGATGGAGGGATG